GGTCAACAGATAGAAGTGATGAAAAGAAACAAAGTAAATAATTACTCTTGCTTTATACACACTATACTTTTAATCTTTTGTTTAGATACTGCAAGTCTAGCTAAACAATCCACCTCTGTACCCAAAAAATATAGTATGGAATAAATGTTTCTTCATCAATTAATAATTTTATACCATTTAGCAAAAGAAACAATAATTTATTCTGATGAAGAAATACAAATTGGCACTGTAAAAAGCATGACATATTTATTGCAAGCTATTACTAATTAATTATAGGTTAAGATGTCTGTAATATTTACATTCATAAATTCATATACATTTACCATGTTTTTTGTTGTCATGGTATTAAGTTCACTAAGTGTTGGAGGATACGTAAGTCAATTGCTGTGGTTAGCGCATTGGAGTAATGAGAAAAGCAACAATAACTTGAGACAGTAAGCTCAATAAAATCATAATTTATTTACATTTCTAACCCTTAGTTTTGCTAATCTTGGTATTTATGCTGCAATTGGAATTGCACAATATATGTGTACTTCATTTACTTTTTTGGCAGTAGTTTTAGGAGCAATTAGAGCTTCGAGGAAATTTCATAATGGAATGTTGTATAGCGTACTTCGATCACCAATGTCATTCTTTGATACAACACCTCTTGGAAGACTAGTAAATAGATTCTCAAAGGTAATGAATGATTTCCAGTAGAGCCTTAGCTATTTTTAACCTAGGATATTCAAGTTACTGATGAAAAAATTAACATAGATTTACAAAAAATATTGTTATCACTTTTTTCAACTATTGGTGCCATTATTAGCATTTCATTGGTTTCACCATGGTTCCTCATAGTTGTAGTGCCAATAACAATTGTTTACTTAATTGTTCAGGTATTGTTCATATCTAATTATTTTATATTTTAATGCCACACTTAACATTAGCGTTTCTACATTGCAACTTCAAGACAGTTGAAGCGACTAGAAGCCACTTCACGTTCTCCAATTTATTCTCACTTTAAAGAGAGTGTTGATGGTGTCTCTAGCATTAGAGCTTATAATGTTGCTGAAAGGTTTCGGTTACAATTTGAATTTTATGTAGATACTAACCAAGCTGTTTTGTATTTCAGTGAAAATGCTATAATCAGGTAGAAATTTTTGTGGAACATTTCATGCACTAATTTTTGAAATCGCAGGTGGTTGTCAATTCAAGTTGATTTCATTGGTGCAATAATTTTATTTTTTGCTGCTTTATTTGTTACTCTTCAACACAATTATCCACATATCTTTGGGTTAATTGACCCTGGTTTAGCTGGAATGTCACTGAGCCAAGCATTTACAGTTAGTAGTACTACAGTGTGTATTGTTTATAACCTCTTTAATGCTATCAGGTCACTTTATTTTTATCTATGACTGTAAGAACGTCAAGTGATTTGGAAAACAGTTTAGTTTCCATTGAAAGAATCAAAGAATATTTAGACTTACCTAACGAGGTGACTAATGATGCAATTTGGGAATAAAAAACTTCATACTATGACAGGCTCCTGAAATTATTCATGACAACAGACTGGATCCTAAATGGCCAGAAGATGGTAGCATCAAATTTAATGAATATGCTACACGCTATCGTCCTGGACTTGATCTTGTACTAAAGAATGTATCATGTTATATACCTGGTGGTCAAAAAGTCAGTCAGAACAATGCTTATTTGTGACCCATCATTGTTTATTTAAGTTAAATCAAAGGCCTCAGTAAATAATACAGAATATTTTGAGCTAATTTTTAATCAAAATTTGAGTTATAAATAGAAGTT